TCGAGCAAAATCTGTAGTTGGAGGGTTGGACTGACTTGGTTGGCTTTCGCACGAGGTGTCAATCACTCCATTTCGAGGTGCAAACTGCGACAGATTGGGCAGAGCGTGCGTGTGGGCAGCCATCACGAGCTGGCAGGTGGCAGTAGACTCTTTTGACGACTGACGTACTTAATAAGCAAGGATTATGTTATGACTGCATAGCGATTGTGGGATATGCCGGGATACCGTCACCACGAAGCAGTAATGTTGAAAGAAGTCATCCCATAACCACAGCTTCTGAAAATTCAGGCGATATCATAAGCTTGCCGATCAAGTCGTCGAGGAGGATGGTGACGACCTGGCGATGATCAGCTCCCGACGACAAGGGTCGACCCCGACTTGCCCGTTCTTATGATGGACGAGGAGACTATAAGAGGAGTTGAGAGACCAGCAGGGCAGTGGGTCGTTAGAGGGGACTAGGGTCGTAAGAGGGGACTAGGGTCGACGAAGAGCCCCGATAGTCCAACCCCGAAAAGTCAAGTTGATTCTGAGGCGACATTTCGATTGGCTCGTCAGAAATTCAAAAGCCGAAATAATTGTTGATCTGATGCGCTATTGGCCGAAGGATGTCAACTGCTGGGTTCCGCCACGGTTATGGCCGAGTCGGAGTCAGGACCTATTACCCGAATAGGCAACAGATAAGTCTGATGTGCCAGAGATCCGTGCACGGCTGCTGATGTAAGCATCCAAAAACCACTTTACGCGTCGATATCGCATTATCTATTTCTCCGCTGCGCGTCGCGTCTTAGACGCGTTATCTTTGAGAGAAGAAAGTCAAACTCCGAGGGGGATTATTATTGACGCTATCAACGCTTTCATCGGACGCCTTGCTCAACGTCACGATACTGAAAACGGACTTATTTCTCAAATAACTATTCAATTGAATAACAATACTCAATCGTTCCTCGATTTGTGCAATTGTCCTACTCATAGCGGCCCTGTTCTGGCCGTCCGCCTCGCCCAAAATGTCCTCCCTTTTTGACGCCGTACTTCAGTCTGAATTGGGGTCGACAGCTGGCTCCCGTGACAATCAAAGGCTCCATTCAGACCACCTCCCCAGCTCTCGGCCACAACCGCCATCCGAGAGCAATGGCCCGTTGAGCGAGATACATGGCGGGTTCCCCGATGACCAAGTCGTGAACCGTAGCCGGTCGACTGTAAGTCGACTTCGCAATCCCTATCTCCCTGGGCCTCCCCCAGTGGTCGACTTGGCTGGAGAGAAAGTACAGCAAGCCTTTGAGGAACTGCTCGAGACTTATGTGGAGGAACCGTCGTTGTCGGCGCCTCCACCGTCGTCGGAGATACTGAGTGACAAATATTATATCGCACAAATCCACGGCATGAAGAAATTCGAGCTTTCAACCCTCTATGTTGATTTTACCCACTTGACTTCTCTCAATAATCAGATTCTGGCGGATGCGATTGCCAACCAATACTTTCGATTCCAACCCTTCCTAACAAGAGCCCTTCACAATTTAATTGCAAAATATGAACCTGAATACTTCGTCTCTCATCGTCAAGCCAGCAGTGCCTCATCCCAGGCTAGCTCGTCCATGATGGCCGCTAATGCAAGTGTGACCGAAAACCCTGACTTGGAGCGGAATATGCGCGAGAAAACCCGCCATCAGCAGACCGACAAGCTGTTTTCTTTGGCATTCTACAACCTGCCTTTGGTCTCTAGACTGCGCCAACTCCGTACCTCCCAAATCGGAAAGCTGCTCTCCATTTCCGGCACTGTCACTCGGACATCTGAGATCCGGCCTGAGCTCTCTCTTGGGACCTTCGTTTGCGAGCAGTGCAAATCGGTTGTCTCGAATGTGGAACAGACCTTCCGATACACCGAGCCAACACAGTGCCCAAACGACATTTGCATGAACCGTTCTGGATGGCGCCTGGATATTGGGAAGAGCACATTCGTTGACTGGCAAAAGGTGAAACTGCAGGAGTCATCGCACGAAATTCCAACCGGGAGCATGCCCCGCACCATGGATGTTATCTTGCGTGGTGAGATGGTCGACCGTGCCAAGGCTGGCGAACGCTGCATCTTCACTGGTACACTGATCGTAATTCCTGATGTTAGTCAATTGGGACTTCCAGGCGTGCGACCGGAGGCTGTTCGCGATAACGGGGCTTTTCGGAGTGGCGATGTCGGCGGAGGAGGTGTCACTGGTCTCAAGTCACTGGGCGTCAGAGACTTGACTTATCGACTGGCATTCCTTGCCTGTATGGTCACACCCGACACAACAACACCTGGCCAGCAGTCGAATCAGCAGTTGAACGGCCAGTCCCACAATATCCTGGCTTCATTGAACCAAAACAATGAACCAGAACAGGACGAAGACAAAGCCCAGGAGGCTCTCCTTCAGAGTTTCACTCCATACGAAGTGCAGGACTTGAAGAATCTGGTTCACTCTGAGTATATCTACTCTCGATTGGTAGATTCAATCGCCCCTATGATCTACGGTCACCGACAGATCAAGAAGGGGTTGCTTCTGCAATTGATTGGAGGTGTCAGCAAACATACGGAACAGGAGAACATGCAATTGCGTGGTGATATCAATATCTGCATTGTTGGTGATCCTTCGACAAGCAAGAGTCAGTTCTTAAAGTAAGCTTTTCAACAATGCCAACGTGCTCTCTGTGCCATTTGTTGACCTGTTCTTTCCAGGTACATCTGTTCTTTGCATCCTCGCGCTGTTTATACTAGTGGCAAGGCATCGTCTGCAGCCGGTCTGACCGCATCTGTCGTCAAAGATGCCGAGACCGGTGAATTTACTATTGAAGCCGGTGCTCTGATGCTTGCTGTACGTCGCGCCCCCGCTGTCCACACACTATTCCTATGCTGACTCAATGACACAATATAGAATGGAGGCGGTATCTGCGCTATCGACGAGTTTGACAAGATGGACATCAGCGATCAAGTTGCCATCCATGAAGCAATGGAACAGCAAACTATCTCTATTGCCAAAGCGGGCATTCATACTACGCTTAATGCTCGTGCGTCGATTCTTGCAGCTGCTAATCCTGTTGGTGGTCGTTACAACCCAAAGGCTACATTGCGCGCAAATCTCAACTTCAGTGCTCCTATCATGAGCAGATTCGACTTGTTCTTTGTGATTCGAGATGAGCCGAATGAAACCGTGGATCGTAATTTGGCTGACCACATCGTCAACGTGCACATGAACCGAGATGAGGCCGTCCAGCCAGAACTGAGCACGGAGCAGTTGCAGCGCTACATTCGATTTGCGCGAACGTTCAGACCCGTGTTCACGGAAGAAGCTAAGGCATTGCTTGTTGAGAAGTACAAAGAGCTGCGAGCAAACGACGCTCAAGGAGGCATTGGCCGGTCTTCATATCGGATCACAGTCCGTCAACTCGAGTCTTTGGTTCGTCTCTCCGAGGCTGTCGCCAAGGCCAACTGTGTAGAGGAGATCGTACCGAGCTTTGTACGCGAGGCCTACGACCTCCTACGCCAGAGTATCGTCACCGTCGAGAAGGATGATGTTGAAGTTGACGACGAGGAAGGCACTCATGCAAATAGAGGTGCTGGTGAAGACGATCACGAGATGGCTGATCGGGACAGGGAAGGTGACAGTCCCATGCGTGATCATGCGGAAGCACAACCGCGTCAGAAGACCAAGATCACATACGACAAGTACATGAAGATCTTGAATCTGTTTGTTCGCCGCGTGAGTGAGGACGAATCGAGGTCGGGCGAAGGTGTCGAGCAAGAAGATCTGATTGTCTGGTACCTGGAACAAATTGAGTCTGAGCTGAACAACGAGGAAGACCTACAGCGTGAGCGCGACCTCGCAGGAAAAGTCTTGAAAAGGATGGTCAAGGTTTGTTCTTCACCAGCAGCAAGTGTCTTTGTCACCCCTTGTTTTACTGACTATTTTCTGCACAACAGGAAAATATCCTCATGCCAATTCGAGGAGAGGGTCTGGTGGATCCTGATGGGGATCAGCAAGAGCAAGTTCAACGGACAGTCTATGTGCTGCATCCTAACTGTGCCTACGAAGAGGCTTAATCGGTAGTGTTCCTTCTTCGGTTTCGGGTTCAAGGATTATCAAATATATGGCGGGCATACATATGGAGCAAATGATCATGAGTGATGATACCTGTTTGTTTTTTCCCCTATTCGATTTTCTCTCTATTTCGGCTGGGATTGCTGTTGATATTCGGTATTAGATTGATGGTTAAGGTGTATGGGCTCTACTGGGTTCGGTCTTATCATTTCTCCAATACAACATCGGATCCAAATCTGCGATTCTGCCCATAGGCAACAAATCACATTCATTTTGTCAGCCAGGTGTGCTTCTTTGTTGAGGCTTGTCATCACATATCAACTGCCTTTGGATTATCATCTTCCTTTAGCTCTCCATCCTCGGGGTCGCTCAAGTCATTCTCTATCGCTTTACTTCATGTACCACCTTGACCTCACTCTCATCCGAGCTAACGCTCCCAGCACATCTCGAGCTCATACCCTGCCTCTCCTTCTCTTCCTACTCTATAGACTACTCACCCGGTCACCCTAAACTCAGATAAAGTTTGAAACCAGATATCTACTTGGATCTCGCTTGTTCCTGAAGTATATCTTTCAATCTCGTCCCGTCTCCTTTCATTCGCTCCTCACCCTTTTGCTCGGTGTTCATATCACACTGGCCTCATCTTCCTAGCTTCCAGGCTATAAAAGCCTAATTCAGGTCATCTTCTCCGTCTTCTATCTTCTTTCCTTCCTCTCCACACTATACCAGGAGACTTGCCCTCTTTACTACACTTCCTCTCAAACCTGTTTGCCCTCTACCAACAACTGTGCTCCTCCCAAGCCTATCTTCTCCAAGCGCCGCTGAAGGGGAGCCGTCGAAAACCATTTCGTAACCTCTGATCGGCCTTCCTTGGTTATCTCAATCGTCTATTCTCAATAGCCTCCGTTGTGACTCTCCTCCTTACTCGCAATCATGGATCTCGATCCTCCACAAAGCAGTGACAATATGTTGCCAGAACCAGAACCAGCTGAACTAGATATCGACCTTTCTCAGTTAGAGGATATAGATGCACGTCGACAGCAAACCGCATCGAAAGCTTTCTACGCGCGAAGCGTTTTGGCTCTACGGAACAATGTCCCTACGACTCCCCTCCCCAAAGATACGGAAGCATCTCCCTCGATCCCTGTTCCGTCAATAACTTGCACAGCACCTGCTCATTTGGACAATCAGATTTTTGTGAGCCTGCCGGCAGACAATATCTTTGACGATAACGAGATTGAGCAAATTCGCCAATATGTAGCTTCCCAGAATGGGAATGTGAGCGAAAGCAATGGCCTTGCAGCCATGCCCCCGGACCAACACCAGATACCCACTGAAACTTCAAGTGGTACGACGGCTGTTGAGGATCGGATGAATCTGGATGAGCCGCAGCCTGCGGTGGCCTCCTCATCGAAATCTTCTAAAGCCCCTGACGCGCCTGCGGTTGACGAAAATGTCGCGCCTGAATGGCCAGAGGTCCAGGAAGAAGATTCTACAGGGTAAGCAACATTATAGCGTTGCAGACATTCACTTGACTGACAGTGGTAGGTTTGATATCGTCGAGACATGGTACAATACCCTTGAGGACCCGACTCTCGAGGAAAGAGTACAGTATGAAAAAGCAAAGCAGCAAGAGAATCGGCGCAAGGAGAGGATTGCCAGCCGGAAAGCTCTAGAACAGCTTCAGGCAGAACAAACTCTTGAGACTATTCTAGATTCCTCTGATGATGAGCTGCCCGACTCGTCGCTTGGCCAAACACACGGAGACACCGGTAAGCGCTCGGATATGGCAACTGCAAATCGACCTTCAAAAGGTCCAAGAAAGCAGAAGAATAGGGTCTCTGCTGCAGAAAGACGCAGAAGTATGCAGCTAGGTCTCGACATTGCCTTAGGACACCTAACAAGCAAGAAGGGCCCCGCAAAGAAGAGCTCTCGAAAGCGAAAGTCAGATGACAGCAATGGGGATGTTCCAGCCAACGGGAACGGAAGCAAGAACAATTTGAAAGACACGGAATTTGATCTGGACGCATTTCTTTATCCCGATGTTATCGCAGACGCTCAAGCAAACGCTGGGCTTCCAGCAATACCGATATCTAATTCCAAAAACAAGAAAACTGCACTCACCGAACTTGTCGCTAGCATCCCTTCTGCCGATCAGGACCAGGCCAAGTCCGACAAGCAGGCAATCCTCGACGCAACCACAAAGTTCAGGAACAAAGCAAGATCTGATGGTAAGGGCGGGTGGAGGATCAAGGGCATGAAGACTAGTCTCTTCCATCATCAGGTTTGAACATCTTCAGCATGCTTGGACGATCCAAACTAACGCATGACATAGCTTCTCGGTGTAGCGTTCATGGTAAGCAAATGCTAGGATATATAGAGAAACGCAACTAATGTCAACAGCGGGACCGGGAGAATTCGAGCAGTCCACCCTATGGGGGTTTTCTTTGCGACGTTATGGGTTATGGCAAAACAATCCAGGCTTTAGGTAAGTAGCATTTGCAAAGCTTCGTACTTGGTGAATGCTGACTCTTGCGCTCTAGCCAATATTGTCGATGGAAGATGCATTGAGCCAGACGCCCCCGTCAAAACGACATTGATAGTCGTTCCACCTCATCTTGTCAAGCACTGGTATGACCTCTCAGCGCTGCTTTTGTCTCATAAAAGATATTCTGACAAACATAAACAGGGAGAATCAAGTCGTCAAGCATTGCGAGAAGGACGCCGTTGGTGAGGTCATTACATACTGTGCTCAGAACAGACTGCGTACCCTCGACGTTATTCAAAGTCTGCAGAGGTACAGTGTCATGTAAGCTATACTGTGGCAGGCTTCCCTAAAGACTCGCTCATCCGATGTGATCAGAATTACGACATATGACGAGGTCAGACGCTCGTATCCACGGCTGGAGCGCAAAGGTGAGGTTTTCGATGAAAAGAAGATTATTGAGATGTGGACAGAACTCTATACCAAAGAAGTTGGGCCATTACATAAAATCAAGTTCTTGAGGATCATCCTCGATGGTAAGCTTCTGAAAATACCAAGCTTTCATTTGTAACTAACTGTGTCTACTCAGAGGGACATTCGATCAAGAACCATCTTGCCTCTACGTCAATCGCCGTCCGTGCTCTCACCGGCCATTACAAATGGATTTTGAGTGGAACGCCCGTGCCTAAGTAAGCATTCCTGTTTCTTACATCGAGATACCGGAGTGCTAATAGGCGACTGCAGCTTCATCACTGAGTTCTATCCGCACTTCGATTTCCTGGAGTATCCGGACACGAATGATTACAGTCAGTTCGTGAAACGCTATTGTGAGGTATGAGTAGCCCCCTCATTGTTACCCTATTGATCTCTGACAATCATATGACAGGACGACGAAGCCCGGCAGCGCCTACGGAACCTATGTCGAACATATCTCCTCCGTCGGACGCATTCCAGTCGACTCTTCTCGTTGCCTATCATCAAGTTACCTGATATCGGCGAGTCAGTCATCAAGGTAGATTTCTGTGATGTAGAAAGAAGGATTTACGACGAGATCCTCGAGCAATTCATTTCAAATATCAATGGTACGTGTTATTGACCAGTTGCTTTGACACGTGCATGAATTGACCAATCTCTTGGTGAAGGTCTCAGCGATGACACGAATCCGTATCTCGCACAGTGTCGGTGCTTTCTCACCATGATCTTGAAACTGAGAATGATCTCTAGTCATTTGCTCACAACTCAAGATCTTGTCAAGCGGCTATTGACCTCATCTCTTATGAAAGATCTTGTCGAAATTGCAAGAGAAACAAGAGATCCTGACCATCCTTCAACTCAGATAACAAAATGGTTTATCACTTTGAAGAAAGGAGTTTCTCTGCCCGCCGCACCACCAGAAAACGAAGATCCGAGCCAGTCGGGGAATGAGCTTAACGGAGACAGAGAAGAGCTTGTCAAACAATTCCGCAAGTTCACTACGGAGCTTCACGAGAACGGTCAATGGTACGAGCGATTGAGAAGAACCAGCTGCCCACAATGCGAATTGACTCCAATAAGCCCGATCATTACCAGCTGCATGCATCTGTATTGCGAAGAATGCTATTTCGTTCTTAAAAATAGTCTCACTTCTACAGATGAGAAGCCAATATGTCAGACATGCAACAACCCTATCGCGGAGGCTGCATATTGCGGCACTGCCGAACCTATCGTACTCGATGAGCCGTCGGTCCCTTCTAGTTCGACTCAGAATAACACCAGAAAGGCCAAACCATCTTCTCGGAAACAATCAAGCAGATTTTTTGGCTCTCGGATGTTCGCAACTGCCGCACAACGATCACGAATGAGGCAAACGGATAATGAGCAGCAGAATGAAGACGAGGAGCTAGATTGGATCGCAGCCACTCAAGGGGGAATGCCTGGTGCAAAGGTTGATAAGGTCCGGGAATTGGTCGCTAATTGGATTCAAGAAGATCCAGATGCCAAAGTTGTTGTTTTCACGCAATTTCTTGACTTCGTTCGGATTTTTTCCTTCATATGTACCAAGGAAGGCTGGACGCACTGTCGTGTAAGTGCCTTGCTATTTCGATTTTCAATGAGCTGTCTTCAGGGCGCGCTAACATCAAGATAGTTGACGGGAAAGATGTCAATTGGAGCTCGCGACTTGAGTATGAAAGAGTTCAGGGAGAAGCAAGAAGTGAAAGTGATGATTGCAAGCCTCATGGCCGGTGGTACTGGGCTCGACATGTCTATGGCAAACAAATGTATCCTTGTGGATCTCTGGTGGAATGAGGCCATGCAGCAGCAGGTACGCATCCGTTGATCCGACAACCGTTGAATATTTTTTCTAACGATTATTATGTCAGGCGTTCTGTCGACTGTACAGAATAGGGCAAGAGAAAGTGGTGGAGATTGTCAAAATCATCATCCAGAACACTATTGACGACTACATCCTCCAGCTACAAACGAAGAAGTCGGCGAACATCAATAGCACTATTGGCGAAGAAGCATTGCAGAAACGAGACACGATTATTGACCTTCTTGAAATGTTCGCAGAAATCGAGAAGCAAGAGAACGGTGGCATCAGAGTCGAGGTGCGCCGCAAGGGGAAACAAGCCGACAAAGGCAACAAAAGCAACAAAGGCAACCAGCAAGGCACTGCGAAGCGATCCAAGGGGAAAGACCGCGATACAGGCGATACAGGCATTGGCTCATCAACTTAATTCCGAGTGCTTGAGACGCAATGCTCCACGATGAACGGAATGCGCTTACGGATATTATTCGCTTGGTGATTTGGCGCTATCTATCGGTTCTTTTCTTTGGTTATTTGGGGATTCCAGATATTGCTAGCATATGAGATTTTGATTATTACTTCAGTTCTCGTCCGCATATCTAACACATAACGGTTATCAAACAATATCATTACGGCAACATTTGCCTTTCACATAAGATCATTGCACATCGTAACTCATGAATTTATCAACCCCGTTGGTAGACCGCAACGTTGCTCGAATCCATCTCCTCCAAAATACTACCCTGCTCATGGCCGTTCTCAACATTTTCCTTGTCTTCGTCGGGAGAAGAATACCAATCCTCTCCGCAGAAGGCACCCTCAATCTCCATATCCACCGGATCCTCGTAGATGGGAAACATGCTCGTCGAATTGTTGCGCTGCGAAGAGAAGCTTCCAAGCCCTCCACTAAAAGACAGATTTGACCAAGTACCAAACGATTGAATCGGACACTGACCATGGAACCTCTCAGGAGGCGCCTCTGTTTCAGCCTCTGTCTCCGTTTCACTGCCCATATACATCATATCTATGTCCATCTCTTCGCTCATAGCCTGGCAAGGCACAGCAGGCAAGACGCCGCTCGCGACGCCATGACCTTGCTGGTGGCTTTCAAGATTAAAGAAACCTGTGTAATGATTGAGAAACTGACTAGAATCTAGCAGCGGCCCTGTGCTCTGATGACTTGCGTTCGTGGATTGTGTCTGGTACGAAACTTCGGATTGTGATATCCTTGCTCTCTTGGCCGGTGGAATTGGGGTTATCGTGCTCTCGTCTGCAGTATTATCTCTGAGCTCCTGGTGTGTTGGGATTCGCGACGTAGTGTTGTTTGTGGAGTCGGTTGTATTATTGTGTACAGAGTAACGTTTCCTTTTCTCACGGTGGAAGGCAGTTGCCTGTGTCATTTGCTTGTTAGCAGCATGATATTCATGTTATGAATACCTGTCATTGACTCACCACTTGATCTATATTCAGACAGAGCTCAAAATCTACTTCATCCATCATGGTGTGTGAAGGTGCCTGCAAGAAATGGCAAGTTAGTGGTCTTGCGGAAAAAGTCTCAATGATGAGTTTCATGTCTGCAGACTATACACTGTCGTTCTCCAGGATTTTAGCCATTGAAGAAGAAAGGAAAGAGTGCTATGTGCTAGGAATCTTGCCAGTTGAGGGGAAGTGACCGCTGTAGTCGACCGCTGTGCGGGCCTTAAAGGAATCAGGAGATATCCCAGCTGCGACGTACCCGACTCGAAGGAAGATTGTTCTGTTGGATCATACATGGCATGATAGCAGTGAGGAGCAGACCATACTGGTTAGAATGCAAAAACGGAGCGCTTGTGTATTCAACCAATGTGGACGAAATGGGTGATTTAGAGTCAGGCTCTCGAGCCAGAACGCTCTATAAAGTACGTACTTCGATACTGAGGAGACAAAGAAGAGATGCGAGATTTGATCTAGGAGATGGAAGGATGCGAGCATGGGAACATGACTGAGAAGACTAGTAAAGAGAGGAGGAGGGTGGAGTAATGACGTCCGGGCCTGGCATAGAGTGCAGCACTTCGCACACTATGATCAATTTGTCTGATATTTAGAGCCAATTCAGGAGTTCAAAGTGCCTCTTTCATAGCTTGGGTGCAAACAGATTGCAGGCGATTCAGAGTCAGGAAGGGGAGAAATTTAGCAGGTTCAAGCACGAGACATGTTTAGTTGAAAACTTTCTCCTCGGTGTTTTGTCCTCGACTGTAGACTAAACAACCGGCAGAAGATACTATCAGGAGCAACGAGTTACCCTGTCTCAAGAACACTCCTCATACTTAAGGATAGATATTACACAGTTTCCTAGAGCACAGCACCTTGGATAGAAGCTGACCGTCCATGTAGTTGATCGAGATTCATGAGCTAACTAGCAGGAGTAGATCACAATCACGATCAGTATTGCCATGACACATACAATCCTCGAGAGACTGAAGTCGAGAGGACAATCGTCTCGTCATAAATCATACTCGAACAATATCCTCGCAGCATTGGAGCAAAGCCATTCCAGTGAGACCATAATACCCCCTTTGCGAGGCATAAGAGTGAAACGGGGTTCAAAAAACAGCATAAGTTAGCTAAGAAATTGCAAACAAACCAACAAAACCAACTCAAAATGCTCCAGCAAAGGGGTATCATGACATCAGGAATTCCAGCCTGCGCACACTTGAGGCAAAGTTTGTCTGCGCCGTACTCGTCTACCTGAACTGTCCTGGGCCACCAACTTGGCCAAACATGTCCAAAAGATGTCTGGAAGACGGAGGTCCTTGTGGACCGGGGTTACCCTCAAAAGGGCCCTGTCCACCATGACCAAGTCCCAGAAGAGCGTCACTGTTATGTGGCATAGGTGGGAAAGCCGATGGCGGGGGGACGTTCATGTAACCAGGAGGGGGCATCATCCCTGGTGGAAGGGGGCCGCCCGCACCGCGTGGGAAAATTTGGCGTTCATTGGGAGGAGGAACATTGCTATGCATTGGCGGCATCATGAAGTTCGGGTTGACACCTCGTGTTGGGGTTGGAATGCCGGGAGGAGGAACTAAGGGGCTGGGGCCGCCACCACCCTGTTGCGGAGGCATCTGAGGACCATTCCATCCTGGAGGTGGAAGATGCTCAAAGCCCGGTGGTCGCTGAATACCCATGGCAGGATGGCCCTGCCCTTGAGGAGGCCTGGAGCCACCTGGGGTGATTGGCATATGACCGCCTTGGGGGAATGGCACCTCATCAAAGTAACCCATGGGCGGTCCATTGGCAGGTCGTCTCCGAAGTTGATCAGCCTCTGGTCTCTGCATGTTGGCAATTGCGGGGTCATCCAAGAAATTGTGTCCTTTCTGAGCAGTCGGAATGCCCGGGGGCCGGGACATTACTTCCGGCACATTCATTAGACCAGGCGCTAGACCGGCACTTTGAGGTTGACCTTGTAGTCCGTGAGGTTGTGGAGCGACCGGGCTCACTCTAACCTGTTGCATTAAACGAAGAAGATGCTCTCTGTCGCGCGGCTGAGAGTCCTTGAAAGGGGAGTCGTGTGCGTGCATGTTTTCTTGGATTGTGGGAGCCGTGCTGTGAGCATGGGCATCCGGCATGGCCATGTATTCCGGCCGTTTCACCGAGTCTTTGGAAGGAGAAGAAAGAGCACTCAGAGCTGAATCGGCTTGCACCATGGGTGGGCGAGGGGCCTGTGCACTGTCGATTTGGGGTGTCGCATTGCGGGATTTGCTTCCTCCAAGCATTTGTAAGATGCGCTGGAACCCCTCCTGATCCGCATCATTGGTTGAAGGTTGGGGAGCTGGTGATCTGGTTCCAAATTGGTGCTCCGATTCCTTCGCCGGGCTTCCTGGAGGCGGACTAAACAAGCCGGCAAATCGAGACGACTTTGCAAGCTTTCCCGGTGCTGGCTCTTTCTTGCTAGTTACTTCCACGGGGGCGGGTGTGATGACCTCCTGAGCGGATTTTGCATCACCTAAGAGTCCAAAGAAACGCTCCATCGCTGAATCCGACTGGAGATGCGCTCCGTTGCTACTGAATATTTCGCCATCCGTGGGTCTTTGTTCGGGTTGCGCAGGCTGCGCAGGTCTGCTGGCAACCGATTCGGAGGGAGCTTCTTTTTTCTCCTCCACTTGTGCTTGCGAAGAGCCGGCCTTCATTCGCTCTTTCCAGCGCTCAAAATCTTCTTGCGTATGCACCTTACGCGACTCATCTCTGTCATTCGTGTCCATCCACTCAGGGTCTTGTTCAAACTTGGCTCCCCGACCCCAGTCACGATCTGCACCATGTCTATCTCGGCGCCAATCTCTGTTGCGTACTGAGACTTTCTCGTCTTCCGTCTCTGGTCCGTCGTGGGCGTTGTCATCACGAAACCAGCTTCCTTCATGTCTAGCTCGACCCGGCGTACCATCTTTCCGAGGAGTAAATTGTCCTTCTTTCTCTCTCACTCCTCGCTCAAGGGTCTGCTCCCGCTGGTCACGGTTCCAACGGTCGAATTCTACATTGCGTCTGGGTTTTCTGTCTTGATCCTCTTGGCCAAAGGTACGACGCGGCCGTCCGTTGTTCCATTCTTCTCTTTCCCCACGACGACCGTTGAACGGCGTTGGCTTACCATCACGGCGATCAAAGTCTCTATCCCCGGCTTCCCTATCCTTGAAGAACTTGTCTCGCAGATTGAAGCGATCGTTTGATGGCTCCTCAGATTCGACCTGGCGGGAGGGACGGTCCGTGAAATCTATCGAGCCTTTGCTACCTGATATGCGAGATGCAGATGCGAAAGCAGTTTTGGGAGGTCCGAGAACAATATCCTCTTCAACAACAGCCCCGGGTTAGCGAGTCTCGGCATATGAAAAGGTGGACCATGGCGTCATTTACMTGAATTTGAGTTTCTCGAGATATGGCGATTCTCGAATAAGCTTGGTCTTCTAGGCGTTGTTTCGTTTGGATTCGTTGGGTCTTTAGAATTTGTAAGTTTTCGTTGCGTTGTTGGGTCAGGGATCGGGCTGATAATGAGGGAATTCGTCAGTATCATGGGAGCGAGTGAGATAAGCACTGTCACTAGAAGCGAGCGATATTGTTCTTACCCCATCCATTCTTCTACCGGCGGCAGATTTGTAGGCTTAGTGACCAGAGGCGATGAGCGCAGCCATAGCAGCTCATCGATCTGGTAACGTCGCGCCATAAGGATGGCAGTGTGTGTGATATGATGATCAGATTGTTACCGCGTGGTCATTGGTTCACACCTTCGAGAGGCACGAGCGTCGCAGAGAGGAATAAGTTTTATGAGCCGAGGATAGATCGCTAAGTGAAGACGTTCTCAATCGACTGAAAGGTGGTTTCGAAGGATAAAAGGGCAAATGGAAAAAGCGAGGCCACTTGCCAGTGGCAAGACGGCAAGCGGAGGTGAAATCGGTGAAGGATCAGAGTGTGCTTGGGAATGGATGAGGGGTAACAAGGATGCTTATGTTTCGGAATTGCTTCGACAGACTAAGTTTGAGGATAATCTGGATAGTAGATAATACGGTCACACTGTCAATTTCGACGGGAAGACTTTAGTCAAGGGGAATGGTAGAGAGAGCAATCGATGGTGCGGGCGGAGAAGATGAGGTCGGGATGGAGAAAGTTGTTCGGCCGCAAAACGTTTCGTCCCAGTCTGCACTGCCCAAAGGGGTAAAAGCGGCCAGCATACATCAACCAGCCCCAGCTCATCTCTCGCTCTTTTGCCAGTGCAACATCTTCCCCCTCCAAAAATGCCTCAAAGCTAGGGTAAATAAATTGAGTCATCTGCTTTTCAATATTCTACTTGCTATTTGAGAGATACTTAACCATCTTTCTACATGATGTACAGCCTACTATGCGAGCGTGACATTATCATGCCGAAACTATGCCAAGCAGGAGAAGTGCATAATTATTGTTCAATGTCTACATAGACATGCAAGAATATGAAGGATCAATAAAGTGCCCCTGAAAGAATACCCAAGAACATCTATCCGGCGATATGTTCAATAACCTGCGTCACTGCCCCTCCACTCCATTTCGTGACTCGGTCCTGGTCCGCTGTTAGACGCAAGGTGTCGGCCATGGCTGCAAAGGTAGCAGCCTCTTTAGTATTCACTACCGGGAGCTGGGTTTCAATCCAGCTGACAACTCCTGCCCTGGTAATTAAGGTTGTACTGCCTCCAACCTGTGTCGATCGGTACAGGAGATGCAAAATCTTCCTTTTGGCAGAGACCGCAACACTAGGTGAGTCGTAGAAGGAAAGCACACGCTCGAACACATTTGCGCGACGGTAGATATCCATATCCTGTAGGAGTCAGTCTCAGTATCGTGCTTGTTTAGAAGAGAAGTCCGCTTACCATCCCAGTGCGAAGGCCCTTGATAAGCAAATCCAGTAACCAACTAGTTTCCTCAAAATATCCATCGTCCAACTCAGGTTCATGTAACAAAATCTTGTCAATCCAATAAGATGGGATCTTTTCCGCCTCCCAAGCTGG